CAGGACAGTGTCCATGCCTGCAGCCCAGGGGTGAGGGGGCTGCAGCCCAGGGCCAGGGTGGACTCCACAGGCTCAGCCCTGCTGTGGGGGAAAACGCGCATGTGTCCTGCCACCCTGGGACCCGCACTCCTGCCACCCTACCAGCCCATGCTCCATGCTCACACCCCCTGCCCACCCTGCCCCTCCTTGGTGTCATTGCCACTCCTCCCCACCTGCCTGCCAGCCACATGCTCCTGCCACCCTGACCTGGGCCCTCCTGGCCCTGGCCCTAGGCACCAGCCTGGGCTCTGTGGTCATGCCATCCACTTCCCTCCCCCCACCCCTTCTCATCGCTGCCGCTCCTCCCTGCTGGCTCCAGCACCACGTGCAGGAGCAGACCCCACTCTCTTGCTGCCCTGGCCTGGGCCCCCACCGGCTGTCACTCACTGCTTCACACGCAGGGACAAAGCCACCTCTGCTTCTCCCCAGCCCCGTTCGGAGCATTATAATGAAATGCTCTTGAGCGCTAAGTGAAACCAGGTACGTATTTTAAAAGAGCACTATAGCAAAACCATGGTAAGTGAAACTGCACTAAGCAGGGGTTGCCTGTACATTCTTAGTGACTTGTTCTTCCTCTATGGCTTGCTTGCTTCTCTCTTGATTTTGAAGTAGTTAAGACTCTCCTTCTGTAGTTTCGGGTCTGCTACAGTTCTTATCTTTCCAGCAGGTTAGAACAATTTCTTGTTGTTTTCCAGTTCTATGTCTTTTAGGAACTGGCAGCACTCCTGGACCCTTTTATCCTTCACTCTGTCTATTCTTGGGACCTTTACTTGTAGTTCTCTGAGTTGGTTGTGTAGTGGTCACCAGGTTTAGCGAAGACAGTCAGGCATGAATAAGAAAAACAAAACAAGTTTTATTATGGAGCAGTAAATGAGCAGTGTTTTAGTCGTCCTAACTAACAGCTACTCCTTAATTGGGGCTAGGTACAGACATTTGTAACCTGGGTGCACCCAAGTAATGTGCTCCCCTCTCCAGATAGAAGGGATGGGTGGCAAGGCAGGAGTACTGTGAGAGGGATCTGCAAACTGCAGGCTAAATCCCTCTATTCCCTATAGAGTCAGGCCAGGACAAGGGTTGCTTAATTATATACAGGTTTATTTATAGAAAATCTAAAGAAAATTGTTATTAATTACATACATATACACAAATGTACAATTATCATATTTTGCTATGTCCTGCAGATAAAGGCAGAAAGATTACACCTCTTCAGGTAACCCCAAGCAAGGGGTTGAAAATGAGTTAATCTAAAATGGATAAGCAACCAGTAAATAGAGATAGATGCAAATAAATTCAGCTAAACAACATTCAAATATAAATGTGCACAGGTGAGTATAGGCAAGCATATATAACCATCAGGAAAAGGGTCCCAGCAGTGGCCCTTAAGAAGTTTATACTTAACACTCTATTAAACTACTAATATACAAAGTTAAAATGTCCACAAAATATAAAGACGCAGCGTCACAAAATATAAGGCGCCTCAACAACCGGTTAGCTCAAGCTTCCCTGAGAATAAACTGCCCTACAGCTGGGGTAGTTCCCCTCCCCTGTGGGAATCCCTTCCCCAACAACTCATGACTCTAGGGTCTGGATGGGTGGGCCTCCTCCCTTTGGCTGAGTTGCTCCTCCCATGCGTGTCCTCCTAGGCAACTGGCTCCCCTTGAGCTGCCACTCGCAGGTGGCCCTGTGCACTGGTGCGTGCCTTCTGCTGGGGGTTGGAGGCCCGGGCTGCCTCATGAAGTACCAGGGCTCAATCCACTCCTGGACTCTCTGTGCTGCGTCATCTGCACTGAGCTGTCTCGTGCTGTTGGCTGCAGACCAGAGCCGCCTCAAGCAGCTCCCAGGGTCTGGCTCCATGCGGCACTGCCTGCACCGAGTTCCCTGGCTGCTTACTAGGGATCGCAGGCCCCAGCTGCCTCAAGCAGCTCCCAGGGTCTAGCTCCATGCGGCACTGCCTGCACCGAGTTCCCTGGCTGCTTACTAGAGATTGCAGGCCCCAGCTGCCTCAAGCTGCTCCCAGGGTCTCAAGCTTTTTGCACCACTGTGTGCACCAAGGGCTCAGCTGCATGCTGGTGGTTGCAGACCCAAGCTGCCTTGTACAACGTCCAGGGCCTGGGCTCCATGCACCACTGTGTGCACAGGATGGCTGGAGACCCAAGCTGTCTCACACAGCTCCCAGGTTGCCCTGGGCACTGCCCTATGCACCGACTGTGGCTGAAGCCATCTGCCACTCATATCTGGTGAGAGGCATCTACAGGGGCTCTTCAGGGCACCAGCATCCGCTCACTGAGCAGCTCTTTCCCAGCTCTTCTTAGTCCTGCTCTTGTCTCCGTCCCTCGAAATGTCTATCGTATACTGAGCACATTGCTCCATTTATTCGCTCTGGAGTCTCCTCCCACAGAGTGCTGCCAGACCTGCAAAGTGCAGGCTTCAATCAGGTCAAGGCTCTTCGCCCCCACCTGGGGCAAGCCCTTCCCTGTTGTTACCTGATTGGTGAATGGGGTCCACCAATCATGCTGGAGATTCTCAGCCTGGACGCCCCGGCTGTATAGGTAAGTCTGCCACACATTCAAAAAGGCCGAGGAGGAACCGATTTAAATTATGCAGTTTTCTGTAAGTGGCGTAGTTTAGATCAGTAGCAAACAGAACACACATTCACCCTTGCTGGGGGGGTGGAAATCTTAGACTGGGCTCTGCCATTTATAAGTCAGTCTGTGTAGGATGAACTCCTGTTCTGTTACAGGTATACACCAGTTTCTGATCACTTATATGGGTAAAAGTGTAATGTCTGTACCTGGCCAGGAAGACTGCATTTGGATTCCTAACAGTGCTAAATCAGGGAGCATCTCTAAATTATAACTTTTATCACTACAGGGTAAAATCATTTTCAAGTCCAGTTTCCTTGTTCTGCTAAGCCTATGCCTTCTCTTTGACATCTATCATATCATGCTTATGATGACTTCCTTCTAAATGCTGAATCTGGTCAGAGGAGATTTCAAAGGAGATTTAGTCCTGGTCTGGATTTCTTTGTGGTCTGTGACAAGTTACTTAACTTCTGGGCTTTAGTTTTCCTAGACAAGAGTGTTATAAGATGTAATGAATGTTTAGAAAATGCTATGAAAATGACAAGTTTCTTTGGATAAATGTCGTATCTTTTATTAGACCAAATGAATAATAGGAAAAATTGTTCTTTACAATATTTTGGGCACAAACATGTTTCTTCAGGCATAGGGAGAGTCTGTTGGTGTTTGTGTACTCTCTTGAATAATGAAAATGAATAATACTTTATTTAAATGTTAAGTTTTATTCCTGACATGAAAGCTAACTTCCATGGCTGGCTCTCAGTCTATCAGGTCATTTTACTTTTTTTCCCTTTGTTTTATTTCTGGATTCTATTTTTTAATTTCTTTTATTTTGGGGAGTGCTTTGCATTTGTGTTTCCTTCCACATGCTGGATTACACACACTAGTTCTTTTCATGCTTTGAGGGGTTTTGCATGTGCAAAGTTATTTTTTTCCCATTGTTACTTTTCCCCCTTGTTTTCTCAGTTCTGGTTTTTTTCAATTTTTTCATGGTTTCTTTAGCACACTTTTAAATCTCTAATGGCATTTTTCATGCGTTTACCTTTCTACTACTAGGTGCTTCTTTCTTTGATGTCATGTTTTGTTTCATCCAGGATTCTTTTCTTCTTTTCCCCGAGAGAGAGAGAGTTGCATTGCCCTATTTATGTTTCAAAGATTTTCTGCTTTATATATTTACTTGGAGGATTTAAAATTATATTTAGCTTGTATTTTCCTCCTTTTTTGTATTATCCTGGGTTTTTTTTTAATTTTTGGTATTTTCATTACTTTCTCATTCCCCCCTCCGTTTTTCCCTTCATTTATTCTTTCCCTTGGTGTTTGAGTATGCACTTTCAGCCTTTCAGGTTTCACTCTTTTGTGTTTCTATTTTTTTGGGGTGTTCTTCAGTGTCGTTGCATTTTCAGAAGTTGCTCATTGGTTGCTTTGTCACATTTTTTATTTTATTTTTTGTTTGGTCCTGTATTTCTTACATTTATAAATGTTCTCATTTTTGAGGGGTTTTCAATTGTCATGTTTTGTGGCTTGGATTTGTGGGTGCACTGTTGTATGTGCTTCTGGGGTCTGTGTTAATATGGTTCTCTAGTTTCCCTACTTTCTCATTTTTCAGTCCCCCCCCCCCTTTTTTTTGCCTTTATTTTCTTACAGGGGCGATGCATAGGGCATGCACGCAGGTACACGTGCACCCCCTGCGAAAAGGTGCTGCCGATACTGTCGATGGTGCCTGCGGCCACTGGCCAGCAGCGCT